TCTCCCAATAAAAAAAAAACTCCCCAATCTTATTTTCAATTGTTAGAAAACAAGTAGGAGAAATAATTGAATTACTCAATTAGTTGTAATGTAACATTCTTTGAATGGAGAAATTAAAACATTTTCCACTAAATTTTAGAGAAGTTGAGTAATTTTAAAATGCAATGTCCACTGATGAAAATAAAAATGGTTTTTTTAGTGAAAATTCCCCCCTGATGGACAAAACAAATACCAAACGATTAGAGCTCAACGTTCGAATAAACGAAGGACCATGTGCACGAGGTCGACTTTCCCAAGAATAAACAGTACGTTTATAAACTCAGAAGACATTGATTTTGCAATGAAAATTACGCTAATGCATGTTTAGGTGTTTTATCAGGCATTTAGTGTTTTATTGCAATTCTGGGAATCATCGTGTCCCCAAAGTTAACTTGGTCACACGTTCGAAGGTAATGCCGTTTTGATTTCTAAAACCTCGATTAATACATCCCGATTTTTACGCGTAATGGGGTCAATACCTTGGCTCGTTATTGCGGTGAGGTCGATTCCGATGAAAGTTTAACTGACCGGTAAATCATTCTTGAATAGTAATACATTGATTGCGCTACGCGCCGCATTTGAATTTCCCGCCTCGAGTGTGACCACATGGCGATTGCATTAACCAATGGGGAATCAACTGGTGCCATTTCGGGAACCCAGTAGCGTCCATTTTGTTTTCGCATGAACAATTCACATTTCCAAGGTAAATGGTTTAGTTATTTTTCAGTTGTCCTATATTTTTCAAGATTTTTTCAGAAATCTGTAAACTCACCAATTTTTATGTTAGTACATAAGATTTTTTGTCCCTTTCCAATAACAAATTTTTGAACATTTCTCGTTAGTGAAGTTAACAAATGGAATGTGTACTGAATCATTAAACATTTTAAACTTTCCAAGTTGACGATTTTTTTTTCTAGCCCATATCTAGTGTAAGAGACCCGTGGCATTTGAGTTTTGGTTTAGCTCTGAGATAACGCATGTAAACAATTGATCGTGATTGCATTCACTGAATATGGGAGTTACCTAAATACCCCGAAATTCTGCGAAATGTTTATCAACGGTGATAACAGGATACGATATAATGGCGAACAGTTGCGGGATAAGGAAAATTGACACACGGATTAAATGTCTTAAAAAAATGAACCGATTGAAATAACGATTCTGTTATTTCGTAAACAATTGCACGATTTCTTCCTCCTCGCATGATGGATGCATTTAGTTCTGAATATGACTATCTACTTCCTGAGCAAATTTGTCTCCATCGAACGTGAATTCCTTATCGCGTTCAACTTATAATTTTTTTCCTTCCATTACAATAAACATCTTTTTGACATGCGGGGCATATGTTATTGATAAACTTCAACAAACTTAATAATGAACTGTTTTTTTTCATTATTTTCCGACCTAAACCCCTTTTTGTTCACCTTCGCATAACAAAAACAGTGAGTTGCAAATCGAAAAATAATTACTCGATAATTGAATTTCTGATTTTTCTGCTCGACTTGGAATTTGTCGGGAATTCTTCACAACTCACACAGATATAATAACACACGAAATGCGTGGATGGTTATTAAAGTTAATTGGCAAAGTAATAATTTTTGTGGATGCTCTCATCAAAGAGTACTTTTTTTTCAAAACACTATGATCCTGATATTATAGAGGGGGAGTTTTTTGCTTGAAAAGTGCTAGTTTTTTTTTCAATTGGATCGTAAATATTTTTCTGTGTGCACCGAAGCACAGAGAAAATTCCAAGTTGGAGTTGACATGGGTTAATGTCCTTTGTCAGAGCCTAGTTTTCTCAGCGGAACGCGCAGGCGTTGATCGATAAATTCACGGCATCCTGCACTTCACGTTTTGCCCTCATGTCGCCTTCACCCACACTCTCTACCTGTTCCACCCAACAGATGTACACAAGTACAATTCAATTGTACCGCCTTACTGTACATAGACTTCCCGGTCTTTCTCCAATGTTCCAATTTTACCTTCGCGCTATTCTCAATTGTTCCCGGCTTATTCTTCAAACTCAAAAAAATATTTACTTTTGCCAAGTTAAGGATGTTCTACCACCTTTTAGCAAAAAATTATCAATTTTTGGAGATTGATGCAAAAAATTAAAGTCTTTTTACAGTTTATCATTATTTTATGATTCTTCGAATTTTATAATCGGACAATAATTTTCTTGTGTTTTTGTTAAACTTTTAAAAAATTCATAAAACTAGAAAAACACTGGAAAATTATTACGCCCATAGAACTTTGTGAGCCATGAAATTATAACAAAATCCAAAAACGCCATATTTTTCTGGCCAATTCAGAAATTCTAGTCAACATTTACTCCACATTTGCCAGAAATTAATGAATTAATTTAGCAGCTTTTTTTCTCTGTTCAGGAATTTCATTTGGATTCTTTCGTTTGGCTGCGAAATTCAACACAGTTATTATTTTCATTGCACCGTTAGAGTGCAAGAAAGAAATTCAAATTTGAAATTGAAATCTAAAGTGACATAATTTTTTTCAGTGTTTTAGCAATATTTGCGTCATTTTTACTTGAATTTCTACCAAAAAAATAAATGACTTCCTGTACATTCGAGAAGCTTGTCGAATTAAGGAAGAAAATTTCCTCGTCATTTAACGTCATTTGTTTCATAATGCGTATTAGTCTTCATTGATTAAGAAAGCCTGACTGCCATTTTCATGGTAATGCAAATGAAATTTTGTTCTCGGAGCGATTATTTCATATTTATAACGGAATGATTAAAAACATCTGGTGGAAATGGTGAAATATTGAAAAGTACATACTTCAGAAAATTATCCACATGCCCGTAATCAGTGCAGATTAACTGTTGGCAGAACGTGCGAGGGTCATGTGAAACCAATGGTTTATGTTTTATCATAAAAACGGAAGTAGTTTTATCTGACCCCTAAGTTTAGAAACACTCAAACGATAAACCAACATTATTCATTATTTTTCTACTCACTCCCTTGAATGGCAATAATTGCCTCGTCATTTTGAAGGTTGCCGGACAGATAATAATAAAGGACAATGACCAGTATCGCGTAACCAATTATCACTCAATCAAATAGCCTATTAATTGTTAAGGTAATTGTTTGTCTCGCTGCGGGTGATCTATCAGGCGTTTCAGACTGTCATGCGTAGACATTGTGCATGACAAGGTCATCGTCATCGTTGTAATTCAACTTTCTGAATGGTTCTGTCATTACTGAATGAATTATGTAACCCAGCCAAGTTTTTCTTCATTGGAAAAATGGAGAAATTACTGTCATTGACCCACGCTGTTGAAAACAAAACGCCGCATTATTTTTGAATCACAATTTTACCTTCTCACTCATCACCAAAAGGGAAACAAAGGGGTATCTTATCAAGGATTTCTCTATTATTTTTTACATTTCTCTCACTAAAATTATCCCCGAAATTTAATTCAGTACCAGAAGTCCCTCTTCGCGGGCTCTGGTAATTATCGCAAGTACATATGCGACGAAAAGGTGATTTTATCCTTTCACTTTTGCGTTTGACAAGGAATTTTTTTTTGTATGAATTATCTCCCCGCCTCTCATCCGTGACGATATCACCCCCAGGATTGCAAGCAACCAGAGGGGAATTTTTTAATTAAGTAAGCCCGATTAATTCCCCTAATTATCAACATCAAAATTGAAATTAATGCAGTACTCTGGTGTCTCGCGGAGATTAATTCCATATTTTTCTCGTTGCAGGGAGGCAACGCGTATCATTCACCGATAGTTGGGTGGAAGAGAATCAAGTCAATTCAAAAAAACGTCAAATTTCAATTAGGAAAAATGACAAGAAAAGTAAACACTTTCTTACCCTCTCTCACGTCACGTCTTTTATTATCTCCTCCCAATAGTTGGTAATTGAGCCCGAGGGAATCCACAAAAAATTGGAAAAAAAAACTGTTCGCGTGTAAAACTTTTTCAAAGCGAAAAGAAAATATCCTACTTTATGGTACTACACGACTAGGAATAGCTGATTGCTTATGATGTTTTGCTCCACCGAGAAATCCAACGCAATTACGCATCGCGTGTCCATTCTACCCCGAGTTATGATCCCTGACGAGTTCAGAGAGAGCTCAGCAGAGGAGAATTCCCACTGAGCCCTCATGTAGAGCCACTATAATTTTCTCCAAGGGTAAATGTGGAATGAAACTTGGAAAAATTGAAAAGCAAAGAGTAAAAAAATGGTAGTTCATACTGAAAATAAATCAGCATGGAATAAACTTATACTCAGATTTATCACGATGTATTGATCCAAGAAATCAATATTCTTATTTAATATTGCAATTTCTACAGGAAAAAATGGGTAATTATAATTTTGTTTTAATGTGATTTTATACTGCTAAAATTGGAATTTTTTGTAAAATATTTGGCGCAGAAAATGGTGTTCTAAAATGATAAGGATAAGTGGTCAGTTATTGGTGAATGTCTCCTGAATGAAGAGAGATAATAGAATTTTTGTATAAATCTTCTTTGAAGAGCGGGGTGCGAAGTACAAAAAAGGTTCGAATTTCGGTATCTCCCCCATTTTGAAAATTTTCATTGATAATTATAATTACAACCAAATGCACATATATGCTGCGTTATCAACTCGGCGAAATTGTACTATAGTTTCCCTAAGTATACAAAAATTCAAATTTTCAGGAGGAACTTGTCAAATCGGTTGCGCCTTTTAGTCCAATGTAAAATAGCAATAAAATCATGAGTACATGAGGGAAAATTCGGATGTAAATTTATTTGGGTGCAATAACGATCGGCATAAATCAATGCAAATAATTGAAATAATTATTCTGACAGAAAAAAGCAAGCCTACTATTTACCGTGTGAACCATCGTTCATTACAAAATTGAATGCATTGAATGACACATCATAACATATGGCCGATGGGTCTATGGGACGTGCAATAACTCAGCTACTGACATAATAATACTCACATATCGTTCTAGCCTCCCGGATGTTTTTGACCTATCGTTCACACCGTTTTCCAAGTTTTTACCCACTGATTACTTCTTCCACTTGAAGTCCCTCCACTCGAGCGATTACCAAAAAAAACGCCCCCTTCCCCCAGTTTATTTCTCCTCTTCAATTACACAATCCTAATAAGTACTTCCACCGAAATTGTTCTTGAGCCACTCCAAATGCCCAGATTTTTCAAAAAACTGAAATGCCCGCTAATCCTCCGAGAATTCAAATAAATGAATCAACAAGTTTCTCCTGAACCCCCGAAAAGGGAAAAAGTAAAGAAACAAAAAAAATTTTTTTTTAATAAAAAATGAAAAATTATTGACAATCACTGGACGTTGGCTATCTCAAGAGTCACTATATCGGAAATATTCACCCGAAATCACTGTGGAATAAATGCGAAAGAATATTCCCCGCGGCGGAAAGTTCCAGAAAATTCGAGATATTCAATGTCAGTTAATCCAGTTATTCAAGTGGTTAGGTTTAATCACCGGATTGAGCGGTAAATTCACCTTCGCAATAAGTGTTCCAAAATGACGATGAAAAAAGAAATGTTGTATTTTGAAATGATTTTTCACTTGAGAACGACGCGACAAATCGCCGCGACGAACCAACTGACACTGACAAGAGATTTTGCGCGGCTGCGCGATTCGCACACAAGTACCGCTCGCAATTTTACCCCACCATCCACCCACCATTGCTACAGTGTGGATATAACATTCACAAGAGCTTCGTAGTTTAAACTGACCGTCTATCCCCTCTTTTGCCTTACTAATCCGTGAATTACAAGACCCCACTAAAGAAACACTAACACAGTGCCACCTGTCCCCGACCCAGCGACTTCCATATACTCTAATGTAGAAGGGAACAAATCTGTCTCACTCTTTGCCATTATATTTTATTTTCTCTCGTTCTCTTTTGTTCTACTCGTTTTTTCTTTCACCAATACCTGTGACTCTAGCTGTGAACACTGCGTCAAACTTTCCCGCGCATCTCCAACTGCGTCATCCCGTCGACGTTCCACTGCCCTACCGCAATCTCAATGTGTGATTAAAAAATTTTTGTTATCACACGGAAAGTGTGAAATTGAATATATAAATGCAGTGAGAAAAAACACGCACTTTTGTGAATATTGTGGGATTGATACGAGAAAATATGCTGTTGTCGATTTTTGAACCCACAAACACCTAGGTTCTGATTAAATTCTTCGCTCGTGGCCTCAGCAAAACGTTTTTTAATTACATGAGGAAAAATTTATTCAAATGTCAGTAAACTAAAAGAAAGATGTACTTTTGAAAATCAAATTCTTTCATTTCTTCAATTAATTCTGTTTTATTTGATTATTTATTCTGTTTCTTTTGTGTTTCTCATGAAAACTCGATGAAAACTCACTAATTTTGGACAAGATTATAATTAGAATGGAAAATTCTAGAATACCTAGGGCGATTCCGGAGTGTTATAAAATGGTACATAATAGTGTAGAAGGTTTTCAGTCGCTGCAAAATATTCTGCCTTCAGAATAACGTGAGAGATAAGCCAGGGCAGAGGGGATTGTGAAGAGGATGAAAATTGATGCTCACTCATCCTTTAACGCCTACATGTGACGTGTGATTTTTCACTTTTCAGTGCAATTTCAAATGAATTGATTGAAGAGAGAATTATCCGACTGAATCATGAGCAGATGACCCTTTTCTCACTCTAATACTCTAAACATTAACATCTAAAACTTTCAATTGATTGAATAATTAAATAAAATTACAGATTGAATTAAATCACAATGAAAGATTTTCTCGCTTCAGAATCAATTGTAGTTTTTGAATTTTAAAGGCTGATGGTTCTGAAATACCAAGTGAAAATCTTCAGAATTTTTAATAACAAAGTGGCAGGAAATTTTCATAGAACCCGATCAATTCTTTATTTTAAAACCACAACTTTTTTTTCATTGAATAACATTTTCAATTCCATCAGTAGAAAAGAGGGAACATTATCAACTGAAATCGTCTTCAAACTTGAATAAATTTCCAGAAACTGCCCGCATCGCAGCTCGTCACTTGAAAATATCGCATTTTTCGGATCAATGATGAATATCTGCATAATAACATAAAAGGGACTTGATTACCAAGTGACAAGGGTACATCGTTTTCGCATTAAAGCTGAGATGATGCCTACGAATGCTACCATAAAACGTAAGATTAAAAGGGTTGTTAAATTTTGAGCCCCCGCCGGAATGGAGAATGGGAAATAGTTGAGGGATAGTGTATTTTAGCGGCACGTTAAAAACGCTGAAGAGTTGAGAGGGAATAGTAGGAATAGTAGTAGTTGGGCTTATTAGACGGTTGAAAAAGCAGAAAGTAAGAGTCAGAGTGTTGCCACAGAGCCCCTTGTGGCTGTAAACTTTGCTGAAGTTGTTACCAGCTGATGCTTTTTAATGTATTAAATGACACAAACCGGGGGATAAAAATTATTGAAGCCAGTTGGCTGGCCTTTCGATTCTACTTCAGTCATTATAAAAGACTTCCAATCTTTTACGACATGAAATCCCCGGTATAACGCGAAGAAAACGAGTTCGGTGCATTCCAATCGTTAGGCTTTCTTCCGGGTAATTAAAGAACCCGGTGATTTCATATGCGGATTCTTGGCACTAGACCAAGTGATGTATACCTTTGGTACATGTTATTTGTGTGCGTCAGATAAATGTCATGTTTATGCTGCCAGTGTGTGAGAGCATTCAGCGTACATTATCTCGGCAATCGGTTAAGTGAAGACGATGGAAAATTGGATGGCGTGATTGACATTTTTAACTTTCACGATCGCAATACCCATCGATCAATACTTTCTGATTATTTCGATTAGTCCCTCATCTTTATTGATCAATTGATTTTCATCGTCTCTGTGATTTCCATTTTTTTCAATAATAGGGAAAATACCTCCGATTTATTGTTGTTTTTCTTTTACCAAAGTTAAGAGTGCCATTATTTTTTATTATTCATTATCAAACTCTGCCTAATGGATAATTGGCTCAACTAAAATGATGAAACGTAATTTTCGGTTATCAAGAGTTTTTGTATGTTTGTCAGTAAGGCTTTCGGAATAGTCGTTGGAGTAATCTGTTTTCAATTTTTCTTTGGTAAAATTAAAGTTTTCCTCTGTACAAAATCCATAGCAACTGATCTCTGCAAACATATGTTATTTGTTGTTTTCAAATTGGGAATAATCTATATCTCTATTGATCGCATAACACATTCAAAATAATCTCTTTATCATAATTGAGATAGTATATGTATAGTATAGTAGCAGAGACGAGCAATGAATGCAACAGATTCTAGATATATTCTGGGGCAAACCAGGGCAAGTCATCTTCCAAAGCATTTCGTTCGCAATTACCCAATGAAAACTAAACAATGCGACTGTGAATTCGATTTTGATATTCTGAGACTGAAAGGGAATTAAATAGTTCTATATCCTCTTTCTCTCAAATTTTAACTTTCGCACTTTTTGTTCACTTCTGGAAACACTCTCACATACATAAGAATAATTATGTTAGTGCGTTCCAATTGGGTGGAGCAACAGGAGAATGGTAAAAGAACAGTACTGAACCGCAAAGAGGGGAAAAGAGTTTTCTGTAGTCATGCAAAGAAAGGGTAATCGATGGTAACGATTACGGTTCTACATGTTTTATCGGTATGGAGTTTTGCTACAATGCCGTTTGGTTCATTCCTAACTCAGCAATCACTTCGAGACCACATACTCTTAGATAAATATATTCACTCACTTAAATTTCTTCCCGACAATAACTTAAAGGGACATTTTTAAGCATCTCCTATGCCCCTTTTAGACAAAATTACCGCTTCTTTAAATCTTCTGATGATTTTTTGATCGGATTAACGCGACGAAATTCACCGTTTTCGCATTTTATCATTATTTAATGACTCCGGAAATGTCACGAACGTGTAAGAATTTTCCCGTGGTTTTTTTTAATATTATCGAAAAATCATAATACTTTAGAAGAAGGGCAGGAAAATTATTTCACGCTCATGAAAAGTGGTAACTTAATAAAATGGTAATTTTGGTTAAAAGGGAGCAGAACATCCTCAACACAATATTCTAATCAGTTAAGTTTTTTCTCATACGAATAATATCCGAAGGCAGACAAGTTATAAATTGGACACCGAAAGTGCGCAGATGGCAAATACAAGAGGAATTACAAGTGTTTGTCACTATTCTATTCATTATTATTATTATTATGGATTTACACAGATATTTTTGGGGCTTTGTGTACTTTTACTAATGAAAAACAGACGAAATATTGTGCCACTGATGTAAGTGAGCGGGGATTAACGTTCCATATCTCCCGATAATATAATCAAATGAAAACATGTTTACACTTTTATATTTTCCTTAGAATTCCGGGAATTTATTCGTCGAATATTTAGACGTGGAAAACATTTTGGTCGATTACACCCAGAAAATCAGTGAAAAATAGAAAATATTCCGAAAAAATGTAGCGGCTTTCGGGTTATCCAGAACTGAATTATACAAAATTCATTTTAATAACAATTCAATGAAAAGAAAAGTATTTAACACAACAAAGATTTCTCCTGAATTTTCGGGGACCGCCACAAAAATAGCGAAATATTTCCCACAAGTCCAAGAAATAGTAAGAAAATTCACTATATCTTTCAAGGTAATAATTGCCAGCGCGGAAATTCCCCTGTTCTTTCGTTGAATTTTCGGAGAACGTGAAATTCCGGTGTTCCGTTCAAACGAGCCAAGAGGTCTTTGTCCGTAAAATACCGTCTTTTCCTCACGTACAATGAAAAAAAGAGTGAAAAATTTCCACAATCCGAATGGTCTGACTGTCAATTACTTTAATCACTATATTTACCAGTTGGTCTATCCTTGCCGGTTGTGAATTGCTCGTCAACTCGATCTCTCGATCTCTCTCTTCGCGGCGAATCTCGAGACAGTGGTGCGGGGTAATTAAAAAGTGTCTAGGCTAGAAAAACGCTGACAAAGTGCGGCGCCGCGGGATAAAGTGAAGGTGGCGATGACGTAATTATTGCCAGCAACAAATGCAAGTTGGTATGGAGCCGCATTGAAACTCTCACAAGGCACCAACTTGTGATATCTCCTGGGTGGATTTTCAGCGTTTCCTTTTCCAGGGAACGGCCCAACCTCGCCACGCACCAATGCCTCCTGTTCATTGGTGTTCGTTGATCCGTTTGGTTTGAGCGGTTTGAGCTGGAGGCCGTCAAGGACGTTCTTCAGATGGCGCCAACACCAGCGCCACCACTTGGTCCGGTACAACAAGTAGAAAATGGCTGATTGTTGGTTGGCTCCGTTGGCTCTGTAGAATGGCCTCGTACGGCCTTGCCGATCACCACGCATCATCCACTACATTTTTTTTCATTTATTCCTTCCCAATCCATTCTCATCTTTAAACCTGTTTTGCCCCCTTTACCCGAAATTACCGTTTTTTTCACTTGATCCGATTGACCCGAAAAATAGACCATTTTTTCATTTTTATACCATTTTTCATGAGCGTCCAAACATTCTTATTTCTGTTTTTTTTTTCTCCAGTTTTATGAATTTTTTAAAAGTTCAGAAGCAAGACCGAAAAATTATTGCATGATCATGACTCTTTGACAGTTCCT